CGTACGCACAACTTAAGAACAAATCTGTGCGTACCAACGGTTCTTACATGAGGCCCAGTGACTTATTGTGTTTCAGTGGTTCTAGGACTCTGTGAGTTCCTACCTCTGGATCATGAGTCCTCCAACTGTTTCACAGGAACAGCTGTTGGGTTTTAATAGTAAAATTGCTACTTCATGTTCAAATCTGTTGACTTCGAGATGAAACATTTGCTTTCAACATTTTATTTGAATAAAGTAGGATATTTAATCAGGTTTCTCTTTTTATGGAAAAGCTGTAACTTCAGTCTGCAAAACGTTTACACCAAAGGTACATACAACAATTTATGTCTCAATGTTTAATTTTGTTTTGTGTCAAAACCTTCTCAACACGATTCTATTAGAGGGCATTTCAGTCATCCTTTTTTGTTTTCAGGTGTAACAAGTATTATAGTTCGTCAATGTTTGTTGAATCAACATCAGTTTAAATGACTAACCTCATGTCATGTGTTCTGTTTCACAGGCTGCTGTTTGGGACCCTGTATCCTGCATATTACTCTTATAAAGCTGTCAAAACCAAAAATGTCAAGGAATATGTAAGTCCACAAGAATTACACATAACATATGCATCACAAAAGTTCATATTTTTATTGTCAAAACATATAATTGATATTTCAGTACTTGGTTTTACAACACAGGAACTCTACTGTTAGTTTTTACAAATGTTAAACATTTACTCTTAGATTAGTAAAAAAGTTATTGAAGAACTTTGGTTGTAACAACTTTGACTTTAGGACCTTTTTTATGTGTGAATTATTTACAAAAACTTAATTCCTGTATTTATTTTTCTGAACTCCAGTTCATCAGAATTATTCAGTAACTTATCAGGCGTAGCATCACCCATCATGTAGAAAAGATGGATGTCTCTGTCCAGGCTTGGCCAGTGGCCAGCCAAACGGGCCTGTTTTTTCTTAAAACGGGTCTTCTCTAAAGGCCCTGTCACATTATGACCAGTGGTGGGCACTAGTCCCCTAAAGCACAAAAGCACTAAATGTGGACCTAAATTCCTTGTTTGAGGGTTTTACAGTTTTTTTCTTACAATGTGCAGATTTGCGCTTTCTAATTTTAAAAGACAATAGTGCTAAATTAAACTTTTCATTGAATTTTTGTCATCGTTATTTTCTACATCGAAGGACGAAAGCTGTCTAAATTCACAACAACGCACTTGTTTCAATACATCCTTATAATCATGATCTTCAACAGTGGAGGGAGAAAGCCTTCTCTGGTCAATACAATAAAAAACCATTGTATGGAAACAGCAAACCCTCAGACGTCTGACCATTGGTAGAGCTGTATACTCTCACTGACTGTCTTTCTGGGTGACGGTTTTTATTTAAGACAGCATTCCCACAATTCTTTGCGTGGCAGGAAGCAATTAGAGCTACAGTACGTGACTGAGAGACACTCCCAGTCCCAGTCCTTCTCCACCGGCGTGCCTGCTGCAGTTCTGATCTGTGGTTTGGCTGAAGTGTCTCCAGGATCCAACCACACAGAACCACATTGAGCCTGAGCTGATGTTCACGTGACGTCTTTTTTCCATCGCCACCTTCAACAGAAAAAAAGAGCATCCTCCATGAAGGCTTTAGCCAACACACAGATAGTTGTGGGGAAAAAACCCACAATATCCAGCCATTATATTTGTTGTTTATATACTTGTATGATCTTTGGGAGGACAGCCCGCTGTCGCATGTCGTATTGAAGTATACTCAAACTAGGGCAGGGCGGTATGGCAAAAAAAGCTCACTATTATTTTTTTCATATCGTCCGATCTCGATTAATGTCAAAAATTTTTTATTTTGTTAACCTAAGAAG